TTACAGTGAGCTGAGTTTGAGGGGAGGTAGGATCTCGTACCCAGGGCCTCTCTGTTTTTATTTATTTTTTTTCATCTCTGGTTTTCTATACAATGAACTTTGGTCTCATGATGGACGTGTGGCGGTGTCTAAACTGCACAATGATAAGGAAATAACAAGGAGTATTATTTAGGTTAGAAATTAGTAACTCCTATCACAACTTTGGGCACTGACTTCCCACTACATGTGTTGGAATAGACGGGTCTTAAAAATGCTTTAACCTGAGTGTGCATTGTCGTACTGTGAAAGGAAATAAAGTCCGCAAAGGTGCAGCTCCCCCATTTCGACCGCATCACTTTTTCCACTTATCTTCAATGGAAATATAAATAACTTAAACTCATACTTATGTGTCGACGGTACGCATTTCGCATTCATATGAGGCCCCAAACATATCAGTTCTGCATATACGTTGTATGTTTTCGACAGGCGCATCGTTTCCAATATACTCCCAGAATCCAGGAGTATATGTACTCTCCTTCGATTGCAATAATAAGTCCTTGTGTCCATGGAAAGCCTTTTAATAAAAAACCACCGTCACAGATATCCCCTTTTTGCGGAACTTTACACGTTTTATTAATTCCTTACAGTAATTTGGTTTAGCAGTAGGCAAATCAGAGTTTGAAGTTCTCGTCTTTTTAACTTGCTTAGTTGTTATAATCGTGTAAGAGTTGGGAAATTGGTAGCATGAGCAATATGGAGGGGCAGTTATTGCCAACATCGTTCAAGTTGAAATCTGGGCTAATAAACTGGACTCCGACTCCCAACGATAATAAATTCGGTGCCAACGGGAGACGGGCGAATACCAAAACGCATTTATGCACGTTGGTCATGGCATTTAAACGTGTAGAAATATTGACTGAGTTTGTTAATTTCAAACCGTTACCTACTTTTCACGGTTTGGCAAAACACATCTTTTAGCTCAGACGCTACCTCGTAACCATCCAAAAGCCGCATATGTAGCGCTATCTCCGACCTCAGTCGCCTACACAGCTGAAGCGGTCCAGGCCTCCGAAGGAGTTATCCTGGGTGGAAAATGCCTGGCCTTTAGTAAACCATTGGTGGCCCAAAGTAGTGGTGCTGGGCTTCCTGTATCCTCCTCCGCTTCCTCCCCTTTCCTTATCAAGCTGGCCAAGCCTGCGGAATTCCTATTAGACACCGAGGGTTCAAGGGCCTACACACCGCTGAACTTCACTGTGCCTGAGAACGCACAACATCAGCACCAGCAACCAGCCGAGGACTCAGGCTCGACCAATCAAGAGTCGAGTTTCGTATGAGTACATGTACACAGCTTTCCCTCGCCTAAACAAGCTAACTACTCACTTACAAATGTCCACCCCTTTTGGTGAAAATACATTCCCTGTACTGATACATATCTTTTGAATCTAAAAAATACAAAAACCTATCGAAAATATACACAGCTATACCTTAGAGGGAATGCAAGTTTACACTGGAAAGGAAATGAGTGACTCTTCGAACAATATGGCGATCACCAAGATGCCCATCTTGTAGCTAATGTGGAGACAAAAGATGAGATTGCTTCCCTAGTAGTTGTTAGAGGGTGAGCACGAGTAGAGAAACGAAGGGCAGTACATGATCCATGGGTAACATGAACCACAATGATATTCGGACCACACTTCCATAACAGGAGAGTTCATCAATACGGCTCGATCACTTTGAGACGACTGCTTCCATTTTGTTAAGACTTATTAGATATTCACTCGTGCTTAAGAAGTCGAATCGTATA